GCCACGCCTGCCACGCAGAATGCACATCAACGTCGCCAAATGCTACACCTGCCACACAAAGTATAAAAGTGCCTCGCGTGCCACGTAAAGAGCCGCGGTGACAACGGATCAACGCCACGCAGAATGCACATCGATGTTACCAAGTGCCATGCTCGCCACGCAAAGAACCACGGCGACAACGACGTCAATTGGGAACCAAGCGCGCCACCAGAGCCAGTCCCAGTGCCATGAATATCATTTCTACCACGTAAAGTACATGTCCATGTTACCAAGCGCCGTACCTGCCACGAAAAGAGCCGCGGCTACAACGGAACCAAGCGCGCCACCAGAGCCAGTCCAGCGCCATGAGTGCTACACCTGCCACGCAAAATGCACGTCCACGTCACCAAGCGCCACGCCTGCCACGCGAAGTGGAAGTCAATGTCACCATGTGCCACGCCTGCCATACAAAGTAGAGGTCGATGTCACCACGCAAAATGGAGGTCCACGCCTGTCACGCAGAGTGACGGCAGATGTCGCCAAGCCCCAGGCCTGCCACGGAAACAGCCGTGTTAAGTTAGTAAGTGGTGACAAGTTGTGTGTGTTAGTAAGTTGTGTGTGGACAAGTTGTGTGTTAGTAAGTTGTGTGTGGACAAGTTGTGTGAGAGTAAGTTGTGTGGTGATAAGTTGTATGTAAGTAAGTGGTGATAAGTTGTGTGTGAGCAAGTGGTGACAAGTTGTGTGTGTGTGTGTGCGTTAGTAAGTTGTGTGTGGGTAAGTTGTGAGTGAGTAAGTTGGGCGTGGACAAATTGTGTGTGAGTAAGTTGTGTGTGTAAGTGGTGACAAGTTGTCTGTGAGTAAGTTGCGTGCGGACAAATTATGTGTTAGTAAGTTGTATGGGATAAATTGAATGTGAATAAATGGGGAATGGAAAAATTATTAGGTGGAAAACGGACGGAAAAATATTTAAATAAACAATTAAAAATAAAAAACTTATACAAAACTATGGAAAAATAAAAATATAAAATTAAAAACATATATTAATTATAATTTTTATTCTATTTAATATATATATATTATTATTTAAAATTTAATAAATTAATAATTTAATATTATAATTTATGTATAATTATAATTAAAAATAAAATATTTTAATTTATATTTATAAATTATTGATATTTTATATATAAAAGTAAAAATTATAATATATGAAAAAAAATATATATATATTTATGTTTTTTTTAAAAAAAAAATTATTTGGGGACGGGTAAAACATTTTTTTTGAAAAATATTTTATTTAACCATATGAAATATATTTCTTTTTCCATATTTTTTTTTGACTTACAAAAAAATGATGGGGGTTTTTTGGATGCTATATTTTAGCTTAGTGATGGTATGGTATATCCTTTTATTCTTGAAATTTGGAAGTAATATTTATTAGATATTGGAAAGAGTGATTTTTTTAAATAGCTTTCGGTGCTTAACGTTTAGCTTTGAATTTAACTAGACCCTGGAAAGACCATTATATTTTTGTTTTTTAGCTAAAATATTTCTAGGTATGGGGGGGGACACCCGTACGTTCGACACTTGGAGGCTATATCGCAAGCCAAGAGGCTATGGATCAATACTAATCAAAAGGCAGCGAAGCAAACCATAGGTGCAAAATGGACGCAACTGATTCCGCCTGCTTCGGGTCGTAATAGGCTTTCCAGAAAGACATGCCGATGAAGCCGCTGGAACCGCTGGCGCCGATCAGGCCAATTGAGCCGATGAGGCCGCTGGAGCCGCTGAGACCGATGGAGCCGATGAGGCCGCTGGAGCCGATGAGGCCGATGGAGCCGCTGGAGCCGATGACGCCGATGAGGCCGATGAAGCCGATGGAGCCGCTGGAGCCGATGGAGCCGTTGGAGCCGATGAGGCCGATGAGGCCGATGACGCCGATGAGGCCGATGGAGCCGATGAGGCCGATGAGGCCGATGAAGCCGATGAGGCCGCTGGAGCCGCTGGAGCCGCTGGAGCCGATGAGGCCGATGGAGCCGATGAAGCCGATGGAGCCGAGGAGGCCGATGAGGCCGATGGAGCTGCTGGAGCCGCTGGAGCCGATGAGGCCGATGGAGCCGATGAGGCCGCTCAAGCCCCTGGAGCCGATGAGGCCGCTCGAGCCGATGGATGGAGCCGATGAGGCCGATGGAGCCGCTGAGGCCGATGAGGCCGATGAGGCCGATGGAGCCGCTGGAGCCGATGAGGCCGATAGAGCCGATGAGACCGATGGAGCCGTTGAGGCCGATGAGGCCGATGGAGCCGCTGGAGCCGATGAGGCCGATAGAGCCGAGGCCGCTCAAGTCGCTGGAGCCGATGAGGCCGATGGAGTCGCTGAAGCCGTTGAGGCCGATGGAGCCGATGAGGTCGATGGTTAGGCCGATGGACTAGGCGCGCCATAATGCAAAGAACCCATGCTCTGAAAGTGGCGCTTGGTACCGGAGATAAATCTTATGCAATATTGCCAGTATAAAGAGAGTTG